CTGTCCTGGAACTTGCTATGTAGACCAGGCTGGCCTTAAACTCACAAAGATTGGCCTGCCTCTGCCTCCCAAGTGCTGGGATCAAAGGCATGGGCCACCACGCCCGGTGAGAATGCACTTCTTTACACCCCAACAGCAGCACATGAAAGGCCTGACTTCTCAGGACTCTTCGAAGTGTTTGGTGTTATCCCCATTTTCCAAGGCAGCTGCTTTAGTAGAAGTGTGTCTCATCTCCCAGTGGCTCTGTTTGCCTTTCTCAGGTGGCCAGCGCCCTTTCTTTCATTATTTACCATGATGGTCCCGAGGGCCCAACAACTAAACAACTTCAAGAACCAAGGTTTATTTACTATTTTATTTATTATTTTTATTTTATGTGTTTGAGCGTATTGCCTGCATGTGTGTAAGTGCATGGATGTGCAGTGCCCATGGAGTTCAGAAGAGGGTGTCAGATCCTCTAGAACTGTGGAACTGAACCCAGGTCCTCTGCAAGAGCAATGTTCTTAACTGCTGAGTCATCTCTCCAGGCCCCCAATTGGGTTTTTGTTTTTGTTTTTGTTCTTTTTGTCTTTTTGAAACAGGGTCTCTCTGTAGCCCCAGCTGGCCTAGAATTCACTATGTAAACCAGGCTGGCCTTGGACTCCCAGATATCCTCCTGCCTCTGCCTCCTGAGTGCTGGGATTAAAGGCCTGCACCACCACGCCCAGCCCCTAATTGGGTTTTTATAAACACTGTTGAGTTTTAAAAATGCACTCCAGAGTCAAGTCCTCTGTTGGAATGTGGTCTATAACCATCTCCTCCCCTTATACAGCCTACCATTATCTTAGCAGGATCTTTTCACACAGAGAAAAAGTTTTAAATTTTGAAAGTTTAATTTACCAGCTTTATTTTTCCTATTGTTGGTGGTACTTTTGGCACCAAGTCTAAGAACTTTGACAAGCCGTAGACCCCAATGTTCTTGCTATATTGTGTCTTAAAATATCTATCGTTTAACATTTAAATCTGCAATTGATTTTGAGTTAATTTCCATATAAACTGTGAGATTTGGATAAAGTTTCATACTTTTGGCCTATGATGTTTAGTTTCTTCAACACCATTTGTTGAGAGACTGTCCTTTCTCTACTTAATTGGTTTTGCACCTTTGTTAAAAATCATCTGGGTGTCTTTGAGCACATCATGTGTAGGCTGTCTTCTGTTCTTGAGTTTTGTTTTATCCCCTGGCCCCAACTCCTAAGTCCATCTTCAGGGCTCTGATTTGAGCTTTAAATCTATTTATTTATTTATCTACTCATTTGTTTATTTTTATTTTATGTATGAATGTTTTGCCTACGTGTATGCAAGTACACCTGTGTGTACAATGCCCACAGAATCCAGGAAAGGGTGTTGGATCCCCAGGAACTAGATTTAGGGACAGTTGTTAGCTGCCATGTGGGTGCTGGGAACCAAACTCGGGTTCTATGGAAGAGCAGCCAGTGGTTTTTAACTGTTGAGCCATCTCTCCAGCCCTCCCTTAAGTTTTGTGTCTGTTCTTGGTCAGTACACTTGTAAGGTAACTAAGAACCTAACACGGGGCTGTAGAGATGGCTCAGTAGTTAAGAGCACTCGATGCTCTTGTGAAAGACCTAAGTTGGATTCCTAGCACCCACACTGGATGGCTTACAACCACCTGTAACCCCAGCTCCAGGGAATCCAGCACCCTCTTCTGGCCTCAGAGGGCATTTCCACACATGTGCACGCACATGTACACATAAATAAAAATAAAAACAAAACAAATACGATTGCACATGATGGGGGCTGGGTACATACAGAACAACTTAGACCTCACAAGGATGAGTCCCTCAGTCATTTTACAGCCACACTTTCTACCTCTTTTCTACCCTTCTAAACCCTGGAAACCAACCATCTGATCTCCATACAGTTTTGTAAAAAACAAACAACAAAAACTGCCTTGGTGGCACATTCGCATAATCCCTGCTGCTTAGGAAGCTGAGACAGGAAGATCTCAAATTCAATACCTGTGGAGCAAGCAGAAGACCAGCCTGGGTGACTTAGCAAAACTGTGTCAAAACATAAAAACTTTAAAAGCTGCTGGGAGTGTAATTCAGTGAAAGTGCAAAGTCCTAGGTCCATAGAGCCACTAAATAAATAATAAAGAAAGAATAATAAATAAATAGAAAAAACTTATGTAAAGGGAATCTTATAGCATGCCACCTATGAATTGCTGCCCTAGTCTACTTTCTACAGCAAATAACAGAACACTACAGATTGAGTAACTTGTAAATGAAAGTTTATTTTGACTCATATTTAGGCTCAGAGTTCTGGTCCAAGGTCAAGGGGCCCCATCTGATGATGCCTCTTGGCTGACTGAGTCCCAAATGGTGTAGGAAATCACATGGCAAGAGACAGTGTGACTGTATGTGTGTGTGTGTGTGTGTGTGTGTGTGTGTGTGTGTGTTTGTGTGTTCTGGTCTTGATCCCTCTTTTTATAAAAGCACCAAGATTCAGTCATGGGGCACCATCCTGATGACCTCATCTAATCCTGTCACCTTCCCAGGGCCCACCTTTGACAGCATAGCCAGATATTTTCCACCTTCTTATAGCTCACAGTGGGATTAATCTCCCCCCTGGGTCTCAGAGGGAGCAGCTGTAGTCAAACCTCAGCAATTGTGCTGTTCATATCTTTGCTTATAGATTTTGCTGATTCCCATCTACTATTACAACGGTTATTGAAAATAGGATATTTTTAGCCCCAACTGTAATTACCAATTTGTCCTTTTCTTTCAGCTCTTTCCTTGGTTGTTTTGTAGTTTTTGTTTTGCTTTGTGTTCTTCTTGTATCTTTGCTCTGTTGTTTACTGAATAAACATTTAGAATTCATCCTCTTCCTGAGGTTGGCAAGATTGCTCAGCAAGTAAAGGTGCTTGCTGGACAAATCTGACAACCCGAGTTTCATCTCCAGAACTCACATAATAAAGCCAGATGCAAGGGCATTCTGTAATCCCAGCATTCCTATGGTATAATGGGAGGCAGAGATAGGAGAATCATCTGGAAGCTGTCAGGCTAGCAAGCCTGGAGTACAAAATGGCAGAAAAAGCAAGAGAGACCCTACCTCAAAAGCAAGATGGAAAGTAGGAGCACAGCCTTTATCTCAGCACTCAGGAAACAGAGGCAGGCAGATCTCTGTGAATTTGAGACCAGCCTGGTCTACATAGTAAATTCCAGGCCAGTCAGGGCTATATAGTGAGATCGTGTACCAAAAAAGAAAAGAAGAGAGAGAAAGAGAAAACTAAGCAGTTTGTACACACATACTAAATAAATAGCATCACATCTTCCTTGCTTTTCCTCCCTTTTTAGTGTGTTCATGGTATGTCTTTTTCTATTCTTTTGTCCTGTCTATGCATCTGACTTTAAAGTGGGTTATCAGTGCTCGCTTTGGCAGTACATGTACTAAAACTGGAACAATACAGAGATTAGCATGGTTCCTTCGCAAGGGTGACATGCAAATTCATGAAGCCCTTTTGTAGTTTTCATAAAATTTTCAGGCAATGGATGAAACTGGAAAACATTACACTGAGTGAGGTAACCCAGACCCAGAAAGATAAACATTACATGTTCTCTCTACTTTGTGGATCACAGCTCCAAATCTTTAGACATCAATGTGAAACCTGAAAGAACTGCAGAAGCCAGGAAAGTAGAAGGGACCGTGAAAGAGAGGGAAAGAAGGAGAGCTAGAGAAGAGGATAGTAGGACACAGGTGCTACCAAGGGGGAAATGGGGAAAATGGGAGGAGACTTTAACTGAGGAGGGAGAAGGAAGAGTAATACAGAGGGAAGAAGGAGAAATAACACCTAGAAAGCTAGAAAAGACATAGGGAACCATATTTTGTAAACTTATTTACTATTACATATATTTGTATATGTGTATCTATACATATATGTGTATATGTGTATCTATACATATATGTGTGCATATATGGAGAGAGAGAGAGAGTTATATCAAAATGGGGTGATAATGCTCCCCACACCCAAAGAGCCATAGACTATTTAACAAAAAAATCAGTACCAGGCATGGGAAATCTCCATTCAAGTTACTGCTCAGGGTAGTCCAAGAGACTCCAAAGCAATATAGTGCATGGTCATTGTCCTTGGTTGCCTCCCAGAACTTGAAGGTAAGACCCTATTGCTGAAGGCACCACATACTTCAGATACAGAACTTGAAGGAATTGAGCTGAAAGTGACCTAGAAAACTCCTCGGTGAGGAATAGCTCATAGTATTGGAAGGTGTTCTATAATCTTCCAAGGGAGAAAAACAATCAATAGTGCTATCCAGTTGTCAAACCTACAAACCACAGCAATGGCTGGCTAGCAATATATCCCTAATGGTGCAACGGCATCTAATTGGACTTAAGGCCTACTCAATAGAGGAAATTCATGCTGGTACTCTAAACCTAGCCAAATATCTATGGCTGGAGAGGTTAGAGACTCTAGAGGGTAACCTACTATAGCCATTTTCCTAAACCAATATAATTTCTAACTGTATTCTAAATACTTACCCTTCTACTGACAGATAAGGGCAACTCTCAGCCCTCATCTAAGAACCTCTTTTTTGCAGCAGATGGAGACTATTACAGAGAGCCACAACTGGTCAAATGCAGAGAATTAGTGACTGTGGGGTGCCCCATTCCAATTAATACATCTAAAATACCGCCCCTCCATCTAAAGCTCAAGAAACATCACAGAAGATGAGGCAGAAAGATTGTAAGAGCCAAAGACCAGGACACCTGCTGTTAGGTAGTGTCTTCTGACACGACAGGGAAGCCGCACTCATGAAATCTCCAAAACACATTTGCCTAAACAAGACCTGCGTAGTGACACCAGCCGACATGTCAACATAGATGGGGGACATTTCACCTCTCGATGATGAGCTTCAGGAAATCAATGGCTATTGATGAAAGAGAGTCAGTTTTCTCCAGGGACAAGCTCCTTGATAGGTTATCCAGTCCTGAGTGGTCAGCCCTAAACTCATGTGCAATTGAGCACCACTAAATGGATTAAGTAGGTTGTCTGTGTGTGTGTGTGTGTGTGTGTGTGTGTGTAGCAATAATAGTTAAAGAGATCATGAAACTGAGAGGGAGATGGGGGAGACATGGAAGGAGATGAGTAGAAAGGATGTAAGTATAATAATACTCATGTATAAAAGTCTCAAAAAGTAGGCCAGATGTGGTGGTATACACCTTTAATCCAAGCCCTCAGGAAGCAGAGGCAGACAGGTCTCTGTGAATGTGAGGCAAGTCTGGTCTACACAGCAAGTTCCAGGCCAGCTGGGGCTATAGGGAGACCCTGTCTCAAAAAGACCAAAAAAAGAAAAAAGAGAGAGAAAGCCTCAAAAAGTAAAAATAACTTAGTATATATTAGGTGGGAAAGTGGGTTTATTATAATCAAACAGAATATAGTCACATGTTTTTTTGGGTTTTGGTTTTTTTGGGTTTTTTTGAGATAGGGTCTCTCTGTAGCCCCAGCTGACCTGCATTTGCTATGGAGACCAGGCTGGCCTCTAACTCACAGAAAGCCACATGCCTCTGCCTCCTAAGTGCTAGGATCAAAGGTGTGCACCACCATGCCTGGCTGTTTTGATTTCTTTGACTTAACTAGGGCTTCTCCTGGTCTCTGTGTATGGAGGAACTGCCTTAGACCAGGCCACTCTGTGCCTCCAGGTTAGGAAAGAAAGTCTCAGGCAGAGGAACAAATAAGGCTTTTCAGGATGCCTGCTTGCTGTGCTAGGATTCCCTTTGGCCAGTGCTGTCCTCCTGTATAGATACAGATATTGATATAGATACAGATATAGATATAGATAGAGATAGAGATTATATAGATATATAGATATAGAAATAGATATAGATGATATAGATATATAGACATAGACATCATAGACATAGATATAGGTAGATATAGATACAGATATCTGCGTAGGAGAGGGCATCTCTGCCCCTAACTGTCCTGGTTTACCAGCTTTGCCAGCCTCACCTGGTGTGGCCAGTGTGACTCCCAGGATCCAGGACAGGAATGACACAGCCAGGTTGTCTCTAGCTGCATGGTGGTCAGGAGCACTAGGCCTGCGTTACCTTTTTCTGGTGGTTGGGTAGCTGCGAGATACCCTGTCACAATGTTTTTCCCCATGTCCTGAGGTTCCAGCCAGCTCACATCCTTTCAACTTTCAGACTGGTCCTTTGGTGTTCTTTGCATGTTTCCAGAGTGCATCAATAACTTAAGGTCCAAACAGAGAAAAATGAGTCTGCTCACTCTGTCTAGACCACTAGTCTGACCTCCTTTCAACCTTGACCAAGACCTACAACCAAAGATAGAAGGTGAGAGTGTGGCTATCACACATACAAGCAGCCTCCTCAAACGCAGGGCAAGATGGAGAAGGCTGAGCAGTGAGTGTGGAAAGGCAAAAGGAATGCCCAACACAATAACACTTTTTGTGTGTGGCAGAAAAATCAAAACATGCTCAAATATACCAAGAGTAAAACCAGAATATCTGCCTTGCACGGGCAAGGCTTAGCACCACCACCGCACGCACACACACACACACACACACACACACACACACACACATGCACTAGTTCATGTGCACAAGCACACACACATGCACCCTCACACATGTGCACCCTCACTTACATATATGTATAACCTCATACACACATGCCC